CTGCAGTTCGTGTACTGTCCCACTCCAGGCTTCGGGACCACATCACTCCCACCCTCGCTCCCCTGCACTGGCTCCCCATCCCCCAGAGGATCGAGTTCAAGATCCTCATCCTCGCCTACAAGGCCAATCACGGACTTCCTCCTTCCTACCACTCCGACCTACTATCCCCCTACCTGCCCGTACCCTCCGTTCCTTTGACTCCGGTCTGCTCCACATCCCCCCCCCAACCGCCCTACTATCGGTGGCCTTCAGCCTCTCAGCCCCGAGGCTCTGGAACTCCATCCCTTCGCCGCTTCCTCCCTTTCCTCCTTCAAGGCCGATCTCAAGATCTTTCTCTTTGTCCGTGTCTTCACCTCCACTCTCGACTCTCTAACCCATCCTCGCTCCCTCCATTCCCTCCCCACACCCTGACCATTTCCCCACTCCTCGCTCCCTCCATTCCCTCCCCTCACCCTGACCATTTCCCCCCAAGGCTCGGTTCCTGACCCAACTGTTCAGCGCCTTGGGACGTCCACCCGACGTGAAAGGCGCTCTATAAATGGAATCTTGTTGTTGTTGTTGTTCCACATAGTCCAGTAATCCCCCATACAGTCCATTAATCCCCGACAAAGCCCAGTAATACCCCAGCAGCCTAGTAATACCCCCCACAGCCCACTAATACATCCCACAGCTCATTAGTACCCCCCACAGCCCATTAATACCACTCACAGCCCATTAATAGCCCCACAGCCCATTAATACCCCCCACAGCCCATTAATATCCCACACCGTCTCTTAATAACCTACACAAATCATTAGTACCCTAAACAGACAACTAGTACCCAGCACAGCTCATTAATACCTCAAACACTCCATTAATACCCCACACCGCATGAATATAACACTCAATCAATACCTCTAGCAGCCCATCAATACCCCCCACACACCGTCAGTACCCCACACAACCATTGGTACACCACACACCATTAGTACCCCACACACCATTAGTACCCCAAACACCATTAGTACCCCACACACCCATTAGTACACCACAATCCCATTAGGACCCCACACCCATTGTACCCATCACACTCATTTTACCCCATACCTAGTTGTATTCCACAAACCCATTGGTACCCCTCACACCCATTGGTAACCGTCACACCCAATAATACCCCTCACACCCATTGGTACCCCACACACATTGCTCTGACCCCGCCCCCTGGCTCCCCATTGGTCCACCCCAAGCCCCGCCCCTTCAGCCACAGCCCATTTGGTGCGACCGTCACAAACTGCACTGTGATTGGCCCTCCGTCCCCGTCAATCATCAGCACTTCCGCCCCATCTCTCTGTCCTTCTCTCTCTCTCTCTCTCCCTCACCGTCTCGCTCTCCTCTCTCTCTCTTCCTTCCTCACCGTCTCTCTCTCTCTCTCTCTCTCTCTCTCTCTCTCTCTATCCCTCACCGTCTCTCTCTCCTTTCTCTCTCCCTCTCCGTCTCTCTCTCCTTATCTCCCTCTCTCTTTGTCCCTCACCGTCTCTCTCTCCTTCTCTCTCTCTCCCTCCCTCACCGTCTCTCTCTCCTTCTTTCTCTCTCTCCTTCTCTCTCCCTCTCTCTCTCTCTCTCTATCGCCCACCGTCTCTCTCTCTTCTCTCTCTCCCTCTCTCTCTCCTTTTCTCCCTCTCTCTTTGTCCCTCACCGTCTCTCTCTCTCTGTGCCTCAACGCCTCTCCTCTATCTCTCTCCCTCACCGTCTCTGTCTCCTTCTCTCTCTCTCTCTCTCTATCCCTCACCGTCTCTCTCTCCTTCTCTCTCTCTCTGTCCCTCACCGTCTCTCTCTCCTCTCCCTCACCGTCTCACTCTCCTTCTCTCTCTCACCGTCTCTCTCTCCTTTCTCTCTCCATCTCCGTCTCTCTCTCCTTATCTCCCTCTCTCTTTGTCCCTCACCGTCTCTCTCTCTCTCCCTCCCTCATCGTCTCTCTCTCCTTATCTCCCTGTCTCTTTGTCCCTCACCGTCTCTCTCTCTGTGTGCCTCAACGCCTCTCCTCTATCTCTCTCCCTCACCGTCTCACTCTCCTTCTCTCTCACTCTTTCCCTCCCCGACTCACTCTCCTTCTCTCGCTCACTCTGTCCCTCACCGTCTCTCTCTCCTCTCTCTCTCCCTCACCGTCTCTCTCACCTTCTCTCTCTCTCACTCTCTCTGTCCCTCACCGTCTCTCTCTCCTTCTCTCCCTCACCGTCTCTCTCTCCTTCTCTCTCTCACTCTCTCTGTCCCTCACCGTCTCTCTCTCTCTCTCTGTTCCTCACCGTCTCTCTCACTCTCTCTCTCTCTGTCCCTCACCGTCTCTCTCTCTCTCTCTCTCTCTGTCCCTCACCGTCTCTCTCACCTCTCTCTCTCCCTCACCGTCTCTCTCCCCTGCTCTCTCTCTCTCACTCACCGTCTCTCTCTCTCTCTGTGTCCCTCATCGTCACTGTCTCTCCTTCTCCCTCTCTCTCACTCACTGTCTCTCTCCTTCTCTCTCTCGCCCTCCCTCACGGTCTCTCTCTCCTTCGCTCTCTCTCCCCTGTCTCTCTCTCATTCTCTCTCTCTCTCTCTCTCTGTCCCTCACCGTCTCTCTCTCCTCTCTCTCTCTCTCTGTCCCTCACCGTCTCTCTCTCCTTCTCTCTCTCTCTCTGTCCCTCACCGTCTCTCTCTCCTTCTCTCTCTCTCTCTCTCTCTGTCCCTCACCGTCTCTCTCCTCTTTCTCTCTCTCTGTCCCTCACCGTCACCCTCTCCTCTCTCTCTCTCTCTCTGTCCCTCACCGACTCTCTCTCTCTCTCTGTCCCTCACCGTCTCTCTCTCCATCTCTCTCTGTCCCTCACCGTCTCTCTCTCCTTCTCTCTCACTCTCTCTGTCCCTCACCGTCTCTCTCTCCTTCTCTCTCTATCCTTCACGGTATCTCTCTCTCTCTCTCTCTCCGTATCCGGAGCCGCCGCTGACGGCCGCCGCTTGCGAAGACGCAATGACGCAGGGCCGGGAGTCCCGCCCGCGCGGTGACGTCGGCACGTACGGCGCCGTACGGCACCGCTCTCCGCTGGGGGCCGCCATGTTGTACGGCGCGGCTTCTGCATTAACAACAACAGCAACAATAATAATAATAATAATAAACCTCGCATTTGACATAGCGCTTTTCACGTCGGGAGGACGTCCCAAAGCGCTTCACAGAACGCACTGTAGAATGAATTGACTGTATATTTGTGGGAGAACGCGGCAGCCAATTGCGCACAGCAATGTCCCACATTCGTGTGTTGGAAATGACCATCATTTTTGTTTGGTTTTTTTTTTTGGAGGGATTATTATTAGGCTCTGTGTGGAGTAAGGAAACTTGCCCAAGGTTTGGCCCATTGCCTGGAATTGATCTCAGGTCTCTCAATTGCAAAGCGAGTGCTCTAACCACTGAGCTACAGGACTACAGGACTCCACAAGTTCTGGTTGGGGGGAGGGGGGCAGTGAACCCTACCCTCTGGAGACCTTTAATGCGCCGTTACACTTGAGCAAATTGCGTCTTTTCAACAACCGCCACCTCCACGCAGTGCAGCGTCTCAGAGCGCTTAACAGTGGTGGAGTTTGACCGCTCCGGGGAGGGTGGGAGGTGACACGGTCGGAAGGGAAGATTTTCAGGCGGGACTTGAAAAGGGGGAAAGGGGTCAATGCGGGAAGATTGAGGGAGAGAGTTCCAGATTTTCGGGGTATCAGTGGCTGAAAGGGCGACCGCCAATGATGGAGCGGATGGCGGGGGGGACAAGCTGGAGGCCGGTGCCAGACGAGCGGAGGCGCCGAGTGGTGGATTGGGGAGTGAGGACGTCGTGGAGCGGGGGGAGGAGAGGGGGGACATTAATTGCACATTAAACAAAGGGACATTTAATGCTCAGTTTCAATAGGTGCAAATCGTATCTATCCAACTGCACATTAAACAAAGGGACATTTAATGTGCGGTTTTATTTGATGTAAGTTGTACGTATTGAACGCCACATTGAACAAACGGACATTTAATGTGCGGTTTAATTTGATGTATATTGTAGGTATTGAACGCCACATTAAAAAAAAGGACATTTAATGTGCAGTTTAATTGGATGTAAATTGTTGGTATTGAGCGCAACATAAACGAAGGCCCCAGGAGTTGGCCGGCAGTAACCTGACCCTCTCCTCCTGGGCTGGACATCTTCGCTCATACCTGAGAGGGAATTGAAATATCTCGTGACGTGAATGGAAAAGACAAGTGAGTTTCTCTCTCGCGGACCCTGACTGACAGTCCTCCACATTAATTCCCTCGGTGGTGGGGAGGGGGAAATCTATCTGTGGTGGTGGGGTGGGGGGAGGGAAATTAAACAGCTCAGAGCCTATAATAGGCGGCTTCAATCGGTGCAAATGGTATCTGATACATTTAGTGCTGAGATGTGTTGCCCACCTGGAAGATCGCAGGGAATTCCTTGTACCCACTGCCTACATAGTAAGGCTCAATTCCGCGCTTGTCGGATGCAGAACGACCATCTGGTGACTGTGCTCCTCGGGGAGGGCGATCGGGGTGTAAAAATAAACCCTGGTTTACAAAATGGAACTTGTGTTTAAGGATATCAGACATTCGGTACCGCAGTTACATGAGAATACCCTTCAGATCTTGGGGACCTGTTGCTCAGTGCTTAGAGCACTCGCCTTGCGAGCGAGATACCTGGGATCAATTCCAGGCAGAGCAAATCCTCGGGCAAGTTTACCTCCTCCACATATCTAATAATAATCCCTCCAGAACACGGCAATAATAAATTGGTCATTTTCAATCCACGACTGTCTGTGGGACACTGCTGTGCGCAATTGGCTGCCGCGTTTCGCCCACAATATACGGTGAATATATTTTCACGTCCCAAAGACTTAAAAAGCGCTGTATCAAATGCAATGATGATTATTATTATTATCACCCAGACTGCTTATGATTCACATACTTTAATCCACTTCCCTGCCATTCTCTCCCCTCCCCCTCCCCTTCGCAGTATCCAACTCTCACCCTATTGAAATACCCAGAAGTGGACAAAAGCTGTGAATTTGGCTCAATCACATGAAGACGACATTTGGTTTGAAAACTGCCAGAAAACCAACTGCTGTACTATCAGCCAATTACCTTTAAACGTGAAGGGTAAATGGCTGTATTATTGGCTTCACACAAAGAAACTAATCAGATATAAATATGAGCTGCCAACACAAGGCAGGGGAGAATGTCTGAGAAAACCGAAGGGAGCGACATGGAGTGTGGAACTACCTCTGGGAAAGGTAAGTAATCGCCTCTCAATTTCTCTGTACCTTCGTCACTACTTAATTTGCCGAAGATATTTTTGAAACAACACGTGGACTTTGATGCATTGGCTATTGACTTGTGAAATGAATTGAATTGTACTGCATTGTTGTGTTTAATGTATTAATAATATATAATGATATTTTATTATAACCCTCCAATTTGCTAATACGCCTCATCACAGCAATAAGATATGTCAAAACGATCCACAGAATATATTGTAAAGTGCATTTGGTGTTTTATGGGTGAAGCACGGCAGCCAAATTGCGCAAAACAGTGAGCCATCACACCACAATGAAAAATTGGAAATCAATCTTCTTATGCCCTAACCATAAGGCTAACTTTGTAAGTTCATTAAATGAAGGGTTGCATTAGTTGGCTCAGATCAGCATTTAGTACAGAGGATAAATCAATCACTGCCACATATCGCTTGTCAAAAGTTAAGTGACATCAATACACCAGAGAAGAAATTCAGTCTCAATCTTGGCAGAGGGGACGGAAACTTTTAATTTTTCTAGTCTCGGTTGGATCGATGCCAAACATCTTGAAGCTTTGATTTCTACATGTTGAATTATAGTGTTAATAAAATATAAATGTGTAATTATAGTCTTTATATTGAAAGTGCTCTGGCAATGATTATATCTTAACATTGTCTTTGACTATTGAAAACATCTTATTTTTTAAAAACTAATTCAACCAGTGACGTTATTTCTGTAATTTTTTCTGAAGATTTCATAATTAGTGCCTAAAAGTCCACTGTTTAAAATGTCTCAAATAGCAAACACAAGAAAGTTAAGATCTTTTTACGTGTGTGGTAAACAGATAATCCCTCCAATATAAAATAATAATAAATTGGTCATTTTAAATCCACGGTACTTTGTGGGACAGACGCTGCTGTGAGCAATTGGCTGCCGCGTTTCGCCCACAAATATACAGTCAATTCACGTTACAGTCTATTCTGTGAAGCGCTGCGAGATGTCGAGAAGACGTGAAAAGCGCTACATCAAATGCAATGATTATTATTGTTATTATTATTATTATAACCGCGTTCCTTCTTATAATTTACGTTATTGGAGGCCTACGCTTTCTACCCTCTCTCGTCCAACTCTGACCCTCGCACAACCACGCCACCCCAAGGCTCGGGTCCTGAGCCCCGACTGTTCGGTGCCTTGGGACGTCCTCCTCACTTGAAAACCGCTTTGAAATGTAATGCTCGTGTTCTTCTGTTTTAAAAAACATTTCTCTACAGGCGATCAAATCGCAAAGGGGTTCAGCTCCAAACGCAACCGAGTGAGCGGAGGAGAGGCCGGGAGCAGCAGATACGATTTGAGAAAGAGGGAAAGAAGAGATTATACTGAGGAAAGGGATCTTCCTGACGATGATTACCTGTGTGAGTGAAAAATCATTCTGAGTTTCTCAGCATCAAATGCTCGAGTGCAGAATCGGGCAGATGGCAGCCGGGCTCAGTTGGTGTGCTCTTGGCTCCGAGTCAGAAGGTTGTGGCTTCGAGCGCCACATCGCGGGCAATGAGCTGACAGTCTGGGCTGACACTGCAGCACAGAGCTGGGGGGANGGGGGGGGGGGGACGATGCACTGTCAGAGGTGCCGTCTCTCCCAGGTGCCCTGGTTTTCATGGAGCTCAGATGACAGGGCTGGGGAATGGCGACTCAGGTCAGCAACGGCAACCAAACGCTGTCAGCGGGGATGGTCAGCCTGTGCACTGCTGTGGGGAATGGGAAGGGCTATGAGGAATGAGGAGAGAGCAGTGCAGGGGTCAATATGGGGTTGGGAACACGGCTTTTAATTGGAAAGACAATGATGTCCGGATTAAAGAGGTTTTGAGGGAGCGATAGGGATACAGAGGGGAAGGAGAGCCGTGAGAAGGGATAGGAAGGAGGTTGTGGAAAACGCTCATTGAAGATTTAGTCTGTGCGTTTGAAATATGAGGCCGCGAAGTGACATCACGCAGTGGATTTTGACCATTGGTTGGTTCAGGCGGGAAACGTCAAAATGGCTGCCTCCGTAGAGCCCCTCCCCCAACCCCCCCCACCCCAATCCTGCCCACCACCCCGCGATGCACTGTCATACACCCCGAGCTTTTAAGCTAAAGTCACTCTGCGCCTCTCCAGACACATAGTAAAGATCCTTTAATGGTGTGGTGGAACACAGAGAAACTCGCTTCTCTTTTGGAAACATTACATGGGATCTTTACTGTCCACCTGAACAGACATGGCCGAGGAGCTCATTATAACATTTCATCTGAAGCACAGCACCTCCTACAATGGAAAGCATTTCCCGCATTAATATAAGTATCTCCTTGTGTCCCAGACCGTCGTCAACTACACTGATCACGGAGTCGCCTCACGGCTGTTTGTGGGTAGTTGCTGCCGTCAGAAACTGACACTGTCAATAAGTGATCAGCATGAAAAGCGGTATATAAATGTAAGCTGCTACTGACCGTACAGTTGGCAGTAAATTATGTAAATCATTGACATCATCAGGTGCTGTACAAATGCAAGGATTCAATCGACATTTGCTCAAGAGCAATTCGTAAAGAAAGCTCATATATTGCTTATCCAGATCTTTCTTTTCTCCCATCAGCAGCCAAGGTGGATGCTTTTGAGGCTCATCCCTGCCTTCATGCCGGCGTTGTGTTGACTCGTACCGAGTTCCGCCAGGAACACAGCAGAAGACATCCCGAGTTCCATAAAGACACATCAACAACGCAGACAGCTCGTAGCGCAAACGATGCTTTGCAGCAGAGAGAGTGTCAGGAATCTATCGTATTTCATGTTGAGGAAAACCGAGACTCGCAAACAGGATCTCTACAGGGTCACAAGCAATCGAACACAGGAGATAGACTGTATAAATGTTCCAGATGTGGTGAGACTTTCATACATTCAGGGCACCTCAAGAGACACCAGCAATCACACCGAGGAAAGCGTCTGTATAAATGCCTGGAATGTGGGAAGAGGTTCAAAATCTTGGGCAGTCTGAAGATACACCATCGATCCCACACAGGAGAGAGGCCATATAAAGGTGCTGACTGTGGAAAGAGTTTCACAACTTCAAGAGACCTCCAGAGACACAAACAATCACACAGAGGAGAGAAACCATATAAATGTGCAGAATGTGGAAAGAGTTTTGCAACGTCAACTTATCTCCAGATACACCATCGATTTCATACAGGAGAGAGGCCACATGAATGTGTTCACTGTGGAAAGAGTTTTGCAACGTCAGGTTATCTCCAGATACACCATCGGTATCACACAGGAGAGAGGCGATATGAATGTGTTGAATGTGGAAAGCGTTGCACAACTTCAAGTCACCTCCATATACACCAACAAACACACACAGGACAGAGACGGTATAAATGTGCAGAATGTGGAGTGAGTTTCAGAGCATCAGGATCGCTCAAAATACACCATCGATCACACACTGGAGAGAGACCGTATAAATGTGCTGAGTGTGGAAAGAGTTTCATTGCTTCCGGATCGCTCAAAATACACCATCGATCACACACTGGAGAGAGACCATATAAATGTGCTGAGTGTGGAAAGAGATTTTCAAACTCGAGTTATCTCCAGATACACCATCGATCACACACAGGAGAGAGGCCATACAAATGTGTAAAATGTGGAAAGAGTTTCACTACTTCAGGAGACCTCCAGAGACACCGACAATCACACACAGGAGAGAAACCGTATAAATGTGCAGAATGTGGAAAGCGTTTCACAAGGCCAGACAGCCTCCAGAGACACCAGCGATCACACACCGGGGAGAGGCCACACAAATGTGTTGAATGTGGAAAGAGTTTCACAACGTCAGGAGACCTCCAGAGACACCGACAATCACACACTGGAGAGAGACCACATAAATGTGCAGAATGTGGAAAGCGTTTCACAACATCAGGGGGTCTCCAGAGACACCAGCGATCACACATCGGAGAGAGACCATATAACTGTACTGAATGTGAAAAGAATTTTACGAGGAAAGACCACCTCCAAAGTCACCGGCGGATACACACAGGAGAGACTGTATAATTATGCCGAATGTGGGATGAATTGTGCGGTGTCCTATCATAAAAATTTGAAATGTTCTTTACCAGCGGAAAGCTTTCCAGGAGCCGATTCAGCTCAAAGTCCGCACGAGAAGCTGCTTTGAGAAATGCATAGAAAAACAATAATAGTTTGATGTATAACAGGACAGATATCTGTTTGATCCAACACCATTGACTCAGTTAAGACACCATTGCGACAGTTTGTCCCCTTCTCTCCTGAACATGTGCTGAGGAACCAGCATTTCCTGAAAGTCCTCACAAACTATTGGAGAGAGACCATACGGATGCGCTGAATGTGGAAAGAGCCCATGTCCGGCTATCACCGAGGTGTGTGGATGCGGGAGAGAATAACAGAATGGCGCGGTGAGATATGAGCCCTCTGAAACCAGCTGTGGCTTCCAGTATCGGAGCTCACATCACTAAAGTATATAATTTTGGTCAAAAGCACCTCGTCCCCTGGTTTATAACCAGCAGAATGGGGAGTGCATATAGATTTTTTTACCAACCAGTTTTTTTTTCGCTGTTTATGTTAATCAAAATGTTTCCTTTTGAATTGCTATGCTGGTGGGAGTGGTGGTGTGGGGGGCTGTGTTTGTGTGTGTGTACTATGTGTGTGTCTGTGGGCTGTGAGTGTGTGCGGAGGGGATTTGTCTGTGGGGTGGTGGCTGAATGTGTGAGGAGGGCATCTGTGTGTGCGCGCGGGTTGGGGGGTGTGTGGGATTGGGGGATGGGGGTAAGGGGGATGGGTGGGAGGGGATGTTGGTGGTGGAGTTGAGGGTTGTGGGACAGGGATATTAATCAGTGTATATATCACTCCTTTACCATACGGCTGAGGCACTGTCGACGTTTACAGTAATGTTACAATGAACTATGACTAATATTAAAGCCATCGGCACGGAATCAATTGCCGTTTTCCTTCATTTTTATTCTCTCATTTTCTCATGTGAGGGACGTAAAGATAACCTTCGTTCCCAAACACAGATGAATGTGAGGTGACTTTATAGCGATATATAAAACAGGACAGACGGGTTATTGCCCAACAGTATGTTCCGATAGGCCAAGGGAGCAGGACAAGAGATGGATCGAGATGTGAAGAGCAGAGGGAGCTTTACTCTGTATCGGGAGGAGCGGGGTAGGTGGGGGGAGTGGGGCATAAGCAATATGTTTGTGTTTTGTTTTCAAAAACATAACAACTTTGACACCGAACCCTTTTCACGTCAGGGGGAAGTCTCGAGGCGATCAGCACTGCCAGCTGGACACCCGAGCGGGGGGTGGGACCCGAGAGAGGCGGCGAGGGGGAGATAACTGGAAATACAGTCAGAGAGATAGGTCTTGATGTGCTTTGAAAGAGTGGAGGGAGGGGGCGAGTCAAACGGACTCTGGGAATGGAGCTCCGGGCAATGGGAGCAAAATGGTGCTGTTGGGGCAGATGGGGTGGGGGTGACATGAAGGAGCTGTGTTTCCTGCGCAAAGGGAATGGCCGGTTATGGAGGTCGCGCGGGTAAGTTGGGAGGGGGGAAATGATGGGCTTAGAGGAGTCTCTCACTGGGGAAAGGGGGAGTTTTCTGTGAGGAAACTGCACGACATGTTTCACGGCATCTGACCTCGCGCCCACCCCCCCGCGGCGGCCAATGGGGCTCCGATAGTCTGTCCTGACAGTGAAGCAAGAAACACTGTCCTCACTTCAACTCTCTCTCTGTTTCTGCTCTCTCTCTTTCTCTTTATTCCTCCCTCTCTCCCCCTCTCCCTCCTGCTCTCTCGCACCGTCAGACACTCTGTCCTCACTCTCTTACGATCGCTCTCTCCCCGCCTCTCCCACACATTCTGACACACTCTCTGCATCGTTCTCTCCGTCCTCTCACACACTCCCACTCTCCCATCGCTCAATCGCTCTCTCTCCTCACTCTCCTCACTTAATGACATTGTGACACTCCTGTGCTCTCCCACACACACTCTATCCCCTCTCACACGAACCATTCGCAATCACTGGAGACCCGGCACCTTCCCCGGTGACCACTCATAATCCCGGTGTAATCTTCATTTCAATGATTTTTCGCGGTTAAAAAAAGATCACGCGACGTCTTAACTCTCTCCCTTTCTCTCACACTCACTCCCTCTTTCTTTCTCTCTCACTCTGTCTCTCTCTCTATTAATCAGCCGCTGGCGGCTCTGCTGCAATCAGTAGACAGAGAGGGTGGGCTGGAGGCGGATTTCAGTCGGTAGACCGTATTTATAATAATAATAATAATCCTTGCATTTGATATAGCGCTTTTCACGTCAGGAGGACGTCCCAAAGCGCTTCACAGAACACACTGTAAAGTGAATTGACTGTATATTTGTGGGCGAACGCGGCAGCCAGTTGCGCACAGCAATGTCCCACAAACAGTCATGGATTGAAAATTACCAATTTATTATTGTTTTTGGTTTTGGAGGGATTATTATTAGGCTCTGTGTGGAGTAAGGAAACTTGCCCAAGGTTTCGCCCTCTGCCTGGAATTGAACTCAGGTCTCTCACTTGCAAAGCGAGTGCTCTACCACTGAGCTACAGGACTCCACAATTTGTGCATTATAGCGATGTTGTCCACTCAATTGAAGGAGAGAAGAGGTTTATGGAGGGGGAGGTTAAACCCCTTTTTGTTATATTCATATTAATAATTGACAATGCGCCTCATCACATCTTCGAGACGTCTTAAGGCGCTTCACATGATGCATTGTAAAGTGTAGTGACTGTGTAATGTTTGTGAAACACGGGAGACAATCGCACACAGCGATGTCCCCACAGACAGTCATCGATTGAGGGACAACACTATTGTGACTATTATTATTTTGGAGGAATTGCTCACCGCAGAAAGTGATCCACCAATCGAATAAGAACTGTTTGCATGTGTACGGTGGGGGCCGTTTGTGGGGGATTGAGGCTGTGTCTATCTGTATGGTGCTGGGGTGGCAGTGTGTGTGCCCGGCCAACCCCACAGGACCATGGTGGTCCCTGATGCGAGCCCTGGGTTGAGGGGGGGCGCAGAGTGTTGTATTTTTTTTTCTTGTTGCGCGCACACACACCTGAAACTAAACTATGACGTCAGCGGTTCCCCCACCCTCCCTCTCCCCCCTCTCCCCCCCTCTCCACCCCCCACTCCCCCCCTCTCCCCCACCTCTCCACCACTCCCCTCCTCTCCCCCATCCCTCCCCGCGCTGTCCTGCCGCCGCTCCGCAGCTCGTAGCCAAACTGAAGCCTCACAGCAGAGAGAGTGTCCGGGATCTATCACTGATGCTGTCGGAGAAAAGGGTTTACAACCGGATCTGTGTCAACCGACGGCTCGTGGGACGCATCGTGCCAGCAAATTCGCCTCGTTGACACTATTTTGTTAAGCTCCAA